GCTGCCTGGTGACCATCACTTCAAAAAAAACGAGGCTGCTTTAAACCAGTAGGGAATTTGTTTTCCAGGAGATGTTGGGTCTGAATATCTTGGCCCTTCAGGTTTCCTTCACTTGCCTGGCACATAGGACAACTCTCCTCTGATTTCTTCTTCCTGGGGCTGTGCTGGAGCCCTCAAGGGGTAAGGGAAGGGGAGGACTTGGAGCCCCTTTATCTCACCCAACCCCACATGCTTCGACTTCAGATTGAGCAACAGGGCCCATAGACATGGTCTTTCAGTCTTTCCCTGCTCTTCAGTCAGTAATGTAGGTTTTTTCAGGATGATCCACCTCTTCCAGCTTCCACCTGGTGCTGGTTCAGCTGGTAATGTCAAGGAAGCCATGGGAGGAGGTGAGATGCTCAGGGTCTACTCAGCAGGGAGGAGGCACCAGGACTGCATGCTTGGCTCAAATATTCCCTGTGTTTATCTCATGCTTGGATGCATCCTCACCTGGTGTAAGCCCAGCTCCTTTGGCTGGGAGCCCAGGATGCTCTCTGGAGACACAGAGGTGGGCTGTGCAGCTGAGGTTTCCTGATCTTCCACGAGCATCAGGCAGCCTGGGCTTACCCTGAGCTCCCTGGTGCTCCAGGTGTCCTCTGGGGTGGCTGGACATCAGAGGAGGGATTCCTCCTGGGGCAGGCACATCTTGGGGAGCTCTCACACACAGAGCTCCTGGTTTATCCCATGGCAGTAACGGGGGCCTGGGCAACCAGAGATCTCTTTGGCAAATGGGGATCCTTTTGGTGAATGCTGCTCTGAATGGGGTGGGTTGCTGGGGTTGTGCCTGGGCTGCTGCTTCCTCCTGCTTTCAGGACATGTCATCCCCACTGGCATCTTCCTCCCACTGCTGGAGGTGCCACAGCCACCTGCCAGTGACAGAGCCCAGGTTTCCTGCTGCTGGGGTCATGCTGCATCTCCTGATGGCACTGTAGCCTGGAAGCAATCTGCCTGGAGGCACGCCAAGTTAGGGGAGAGTTTGGCAGGGGAAGGTGGATGTGCCTTTCCCTGCAATCTGGGACAGGCTTACAGCTGCCATGGACATGGTCTCACCCACCCCCGAGGGGAGCAGCCACCTCACTCACATGGTTGACCCCGTTGTAGTGCTCAGTAGACACAAGTGATGGGAATTTCCTATCCCAGCTCCAGAAGCAGCTCTGTTTGGCATGTTTAGGGATGAGTTGGAAAGGGTGTCTTGACCCTCCCACCGCCACCGAAGTCTCTGCAGCTCTGTGGTGGTGCTTTTGGCACAGTGAGGGTTAACCACCAGGCTTCTTCAGCATGCATAGGACCTGGTGGAGGTTTTCAGAGGTTCCCAGCTCTACTTTGCCTGGCTCTCTAAAATAAACCGTGTAACCTTCCTAAAAATACTCAGAGGGCAGTAGCCCCTGGAGAGCACCAGCGCTGCTTGCTCCTGGTTTCTAGACCAAGCCATTGGAGAGATTAGATCACATGCCTGCATCTCACAGCCCTGGAAAGCCCTTGGCTTTCTCAAAGTCTCCTGCAGGATACAGGAGTCCAGGTCTTGATCTGAACCTGCCTTTCGAGGCCAGCCCACTTCCTGTGGCACCCTACTCTTCCTCACTCCTGGCAGGATTTGGTGCCTGCCCACACATCTCTGCATGAGGTGACACTGCCGGCTTCAGGTTTAATGTGCCATGGTCAGGAGCGTCACCAGCTGCCCTGGGCGCCTTGGGAGGGAGGAAGGGTCCATGGCTTTTCCCTGGAGCAAGCCCTGGGCCTCCCCCTGGGTGTGGGAGGCCCTGGCAAGGAGGAATAGCTGGGCCCTTCCCCTCTTTTTTTTTTTTAGGCATGTGGGAGGAGGATGGAAAGGGCTCTGAGGAGGAGGGAGGGAGCTGAATTTTCCATGAGCAGCTGTCAAAATGTAATCTCCTGCGTTGCTCCGGCTGGCAGCTTAGGCAGGATAAATTAACGGGGATTTCGGGGAATGTGGAAAATACCATGGCCTGAAGGGGGCCGGCCCTGCGGGGAGCGGCTCTTTCATCTGCGGGACTGGCTGGGGCAGCGCCTGCCCGAGCTGTGTAGGGATGCTCCGAGGCTTGGTGCCTGCCGCTGTTGGGTGCTGGTTTCACCGGTTTTCTGTCCACCGCCTCCACCCAAAGGTCACCTGGAGAAGGGGTGAGGGAGTTCACCCCTTCTCTGCCTCCCCTTTCCTGCTGGCGGGGGGCTCCTGCTGGAGGGGAACGCAGGCAGTTGCTTTTGCAATGTCAAGTATTGGTGCTGACAGCTGGGGTGTGGGGCAGCCCCCCGCCCCGGGGGCCTTTCCACACCGTCTCCTCGCTCCTGCTCAAACCTGGGAATTTATGCAATTGCATTTTCATTTTTCTTTCCCCCCCACCCCCTCCATCTTGTGAAATGCAGAGCCAGAAAAGTATGTGTGCTTCTGCACTTGTCTCAGCCCCCGGACCTGTCTGTCTGGAGGACACCACACACGTGCTGGGGCTTGAGCCTGGGCCCCTCCGTCTGCCCAATGTCGCCATGTCCTTGCCACGGGGCTGTGGTGGTGTCGGGAGCCCCAGTCCCGCAGCCAGCTGCCCGTGGAGCACTGGGGAGCATGAGGAGCGTTCATGCCGGCTATTTATAACTGTGCTAAAGCTATCCCAGCCAGCAAAGGGGCCTGGAGATACGGCAGCAGCCGCTTGCCAGAGCCTGCAAAGGGCCCTGCTCTTTGCCTGGCCCTGCTGATTTGCCAGCAGCTGTGCCCTGGCAGCTGCTGACCAGGCCGTGTCATCCAGGGCCCTCTCCTTCCCCGTCGGTTGCACATCCCATAGGATGCCTTCAGGTGCTGCCGGAGCCGGCAGATCTGGGACGGCCTGTTTAAAATAACACATTGGCACAGAAAAAGGGGGGACCGGAGGAAACGAGGTCTCCTCGCACACAGGGAACGGTGCCGAACCTCGACAAACGCCTTGCCCTGACACAGAGTTCCCGTTGCCACAGGGAGCCCTTCACAGCCATTCCGGGGACTCTCCGCTGGAAGCCGGTCCCCAGAGCTCCCCCAGACTGGTGCCTGCGGTGTGGGGAACCATCCGTGCCAGGCAGGGGCAGGGCAGGCGGGCTGCCAGGGGAGCGGGGCACTGGGAGGGTGTCTCGCAAGGGGGGAGGCCAGTTGGGTCTTGCAGCAGCAGGCTGGGAGCTATCCGAGCTATCCGCGCTATAAATACACTGGGCGGGTAAACACTTGGGAGGAGGAAAGAAACAGCTATTTCAGCTAATGGGCACGGCTGCCACAAGGTATAAATCGGTCAGGAGTAAAATTAGGCTGGAGATGAGAAGGCAGATTGGTACTGCTGCCCACGAGGCCCTGGCTGCCAGTGCTGCCCTGTCACCGGGGATTTGGTGCAAATGGGGCCAGGCTCACAGCAGAGACCCCATGGCTCAGCCTGCCTGGGGCAGTGATGTGTCCCTGCAGGGGCATGCTGCAGGACAGCAGGACACCCCACTGGAGAGACCCCTGGGCTCGAGGGCTCCTTGTTTTAGCAGGTCCTCTGAGTCCTGCCTTTTAGGCCAGTCCAACACCATCCATGATACTCATCCTTGCTGTGCCCTCCTGAGAAATAACTGCCCTCTGGAGGGGCAGGATTGGCATCCCTAGGCTTTCATTTGAGGAGCTGGGAAGTCATCTGTATTTATCACCACTGCTAATGAGCGGGTACACAGCTGTTGTGCAGTTACCCTGGTTGATTGCACCATGTAGGTCTGAGCTACCTCCTTAAAGCCCCTCTACTTTCTCCCTTCTAAGAAGCAAGAAAAAAACGCCCTGGCCACATCCACGTGGTGGCAAACAAGAACCTGATTCATCCTTAGATAATTTGTGTACATTGCTTTTCTCTTCTTTCCTGAGCAGCCTTTGCATATATATGAAGAAAGCTCTTAAGCGGCGCTGCAGTCAAACCTGATCTGCTTTTAGAAGGCAGATCCTTAAATTACCCTCTCCCTCTCTGCAGGCAGGGAATTGCTGGATGTTCTGGTGCAAACCCGTGGTGGTGGTGGTGGCACGCTCAGCTTGAGCCCTGCTACTCTGCTGGGCAGGGATGAACTGCATGGCCTCGAGCTGGCTGCAGTGGGAGGACACGAGTCCTGAGAGGGTGACCTGTAGGACTGGTTGGTGTTCTGTTCCTTAGGAGTTTGCAGCTTAGAAACCTGGGTTTGGGGCAGCCTTGGTCGGTGGGGCTGGGGATGATGCCATGGTGGTGACACTGCATGTCTGCATGGCAGTGACACTGGTGTGACACCCTGGCACCAGCCAGGCCCCTTCATGCCCAAGCAAGGTTGCCATGCAGATCTGGGCATCCCAGCCAGCTCCATCCAAGAGCCTGAGTCACCAGGCAGAGCCAAGATCAAGCTGGGACATCAGCCTGCAGGGTCCTCCTGTTCTGGGGCTGCTGGCTGGCGTCGAAGGGGTGAGCACACACCTCACTCCTGCAAAAAGCTGGAGAGAGCAGTGATTTGGGTTTGAGGCTGTGACCTGCCAGTCCTCTGCTGCAGCCCTACAAAAGAACCTCCTTCCTTGCAACTTTTCTGGCTTAGCCATGCGGTGCTGAGCTCTGGCAGCAGGGACAGCACCATCCGGGCACGGGGACGTGCCCCTGCACTTGCCAGTGGCAGGGTGCTGCATGCCCCAGGCTGCTGCTTGCCCTTTAAGGCCTGGCAGCAGCTGATGGCCACGTGTGCACTGCCTTGGCACTCTCTCCGTGCCCTCTGTGCGCGGGCTCGGGGACGACCAGCGCGCCGGCTGGGGTGGCTGTGCCCTGTCCGGTGGCTGTCCCTGCACCAGCACAGGATGAGCAGGTGCCCAGCGGGCGCTGCGTGGGGTGAGGGTCACCATGCAGGCGGCAGGTGAGGGGCTGCCCTGCCCCACCATGGCCTCGGGGATTCCCTGGGATGCAGGGTGGACGACTCCCGCTGCCCTTGCTAAGGGCTCGTCTCTGCTCTCCCTCCAGGTTTCAAGTGCCCCATTTGCTCCAAATCTGTGGCTTCTGACGAGATGGAAATGCACTTTATCATGTGTCTGAGCAAACCTCGCCTCTCCTACAACGGTAAGGGCCAAGCTCTGTGGGGGAAATGGCATCTTACTCCTTGGGATGACTCTGGGCAGGCTGGAGAGACTTGCTGCAGGCAGGCAGCTCAGCTGGGCTTGCCAAGAGGGCTGTTCTCCAGCGGGATGGTGCTGCTCCCCTTCCCTGCTCCACTCTGCTCCCCTGGCATGGCTCAACTCTGCTGCTTTTGCTTTTAGACTCCTTTGTAACACAGCCCCCTGCCCAGGTTGCTCTGTGCCAGAGGGAGCCTCCTGGCCGGGTGTCCTGCCTGGCGAGGGCAGAGGACACATGTCCCCTTGGGCTGCCCCTCTGAGGGGTCATTGCCTTCCTCCCCTCCTCACTGACCAGGAGACTTATGGGGCTGAGCACTGGGCTGCAGGCTCTCGGCATCTCCCCCCTCCCTCCTGACCACTGGTGTGGGAGGGATGCTCGCCTCCTACTCAGTGGTGATTTTTGAGAAGCCAGTGGTAGGGGCTTTGTTTGCTCCAGCTGCCCCAGACCCTGTGCCTCCACCTGAGCCTCCTGCTAGTGTTTTACAGTGCTGCTGCCGTTCTGCCCCATGGCAGCTGCACCCACAGCAGGGCCGTGGGTTCCCCTTCATCCCAGGGAGGGGAATGCTGTGGTGGTCCCCGTTTCAACCTCTGCCCTCCCCTCCCAGATGACGTGCTGACCAAGGATGCCGGCGAGTGCGTGATCTGCCTGGAGGAGCTGCTGCAGGGGGACACGATAGCCAGGCTGCCCTGCCTCTGCATTTATCACAAAAGGTACCGTGAGGGGGTGGCCAGGTGGGCGGCAGGGGACAGGAGGGGACACCCGAGGTTCAGCAGTGGTGACACGCTCTCCTCTCACAGCTGTATAGACTCATGGTTTGAAGTGAACAGATCTTGCCCGGAGCATCCTTCTGATTGACCCGCCAGGCGTGCTTGCTGACTTCTCTTTAAGGTGAGCCTGCGGTGGGCTGCTCAAACGGGGTATTCCCATGCTGGCTTTAAATCCTGGGCCAGGAGGGGAGGATGGGGTGGGATGAGGTGGAGTGGGACAGCCAGGGCTCGGGCTCCTCACCCGGGATGGTCTCTCTCTGCTTTTGCAGGGCACCTTGCTATACCTGCTGTACCTCCTCTCCCTGTCCCCCCCGCCCCGCCTGGAGTTTTGGGCTGACTTTAAATTCCTCAAGAAGACAAAAATAAAACCCAGAAACTTGAATCCACTTGGGACAACGGCGCATTTTTTATTTTATTTTATTATTTTTATTTGTTTTGTTGGGGTTTTTTTTGCTTGTTTTGTTTTTGTTTGTTCGTTTGTTTTTGTTTTTGTTTTTTTTTTTTTTAATTTAAAAGATATAAAACTAAAAGAAACATCCAGGAGAAGACAGTGTGAGAAAAGCGGAGCGACCTGCTCTCTCCTCCACAGCCGCTGGTCACCAGGAGAGCTCTGCCCGCCCCAGGGAGGCCCCAGGGACGCCCTCGGCCGACACCCTGCCATGATGTTTGGCTTTTCTCCCCGAACCGAAAGGGGAAAGCTGCCGGGGGACAGCCGGCCAAACGGAGCACGCGGCATTTCTCACCGGCAACCCCCCACCTCCCACCCGGACTCGCCCCGGGGGCTCTGCTCGGTTTTTTTGCACTGACTAAACGGGAAATTTCTCCTCTCTCCCGTCTCCCTTTTGGAGATCTCCACCCCGGCCCCCCGGCAGCGTTGAGATGGGGACTCTGCCCCACGCCGGGAGCGGGGCCACTGCTCCCCCCTGCTGACTCGCAGGGGTCCGTCTTTCAAGTGTTTACAACGAGAAAACAAAAAAAAAGGAAAAAAAAAGGAAAAAAAAAGAAGAAAAAAAGAGAAAATGGACAAAAAAAACCAAACAAACAACAAACCACAACTGAAGCTTTGTGTTGACTGGCGTGTTCTTCGATTTGAGCTTCCCTGCCCCGGTGATGTTTACAGACTGGTCACTCTTTAACTCAGCTATAACCACTCAGAGACTGGAGAGCCGCAGCATCCCCGCCGCCCCTCCCGCGCCCCCTCGCCGGGTTCCTCTTGCCAAAACCGCCCCCCCTCTTTCTTTTCCATCGGCTTTGAGTTGGACCCTTTCGAGGAGGGTATGGGGAAGGCCCCGATGGGCCCCCGGATGCTCCCGGCCACCCCTGGTCATGGGAGTGGCTCTGCTGGAGGTGCCAAGATGGAGTCATTTCATGGCAGTGACCCCTCCCCTGCCCATCCCCGTCCCCTCCTGGCGCGGCGGGCGCGTTTTCGTTGGTGAGACCTCCCCTGCCGGTGGCCGTGCCCCTGCGGGAAACCTTTCTGTATTTATATATTAAAAAAAAACGGGGGAAAAAAAGAGTTCGGAGCTTGGGGGGAGCTTCCTTCATTAGTCAAGGTGTTTTGATATGGTATTAAAACAATGTTCAATAAAATATTCACTGTTATTTTATTTCACTGGCTTTCTTGGTGAAGCAGATGATGCCGGTGGGGTGCTGGAGACCCCCACCCGTGCCGATGCCCCTTCCCCGTGTCTGCCATGTGGGGATGGCCCCAGTGGTGCTCAGCAGGTCCCAGAGATGGGATGCCATGGGGGCCATGATGGACATTCCCACCCAGCACCACCAGCACCATGACTCGGGGGAAGAGACTAAAGTGGGACCCCCATGGTGCCCTGTGAGTGTCTGTGTGTGCTGCCTGGGACAGGGACCCCCTAGGGAGGGGCTGGGGCGTCCTGTCCCCCAAAAGACATCACAGTACATGGAGGCTACATGTACAAACGGGTTTATTTGGGGTTCGGGGATCCCTGACCCCCCGAGGTGGGGATGGGGGGATTTGTGGGGACACAAAGGGTGGCAGTGCAGGGCAGCGTGGCCACCCCAGCCCTGTCTCCCGGGGCTGCAGCCCCCCACTGCCAGCTCAATGCCAGAGCCCCCCCTCAGAGCACCTTGCCGGGGTTCATGAGGTTGTGGGGGTCCAGTGCAGCCTTGATGGAGCGCAGGGTGTCCAGCCCCTCCTGGCCCAGCTCCTCCAGCAGCAGTGCCCGCTTGCCCAGCCCCACGCCGTGCTCCCCGGTGCAGGTGCCCCCCGCCGCCAGCGCCCGCCTGCGGGACAGCAGGGTCAGGGCAGGGGGACATCTGCCTGTCCAACTGTCCCCCCAGGGTGCCCCATCCCCACCTGCCCAGGCGCTGGGTGAAGGCGTGGATGCGCTGGGCCTCCTCTGGGTCCTGGGTGTTGAAGATGAGGATGCAGTGGAAGTTGCCATCGCCTACGTGTCCCACCATGGGTCCTGCAGGGCCGTGGGTCAGATGAGGTGCACAGGGAGGATGGTGGCCCCCCAACCCACCCCTCTGTCCCAGGGGGCTGCAGCCCCACTGACCGGTGAGGCCAGAGTCCTGCAGGTCCTGCTTGGTCTCCACCACCACGTCGGGCAGGCGGGAGATGGGCACACAGACATCCGTGGAGTAGCCCTGGGGCGGGCAGGGCAAAGCTGTGGCAGCTGCAGCTCCACGGGCGCTGCCGCCATCGTCCCTGTCCTTGTACCTGTCCCTCACCTGGCAGCCGGGCCGCAGGGCCAGGGCCGCGTACCAGGCGTTGTGGCGCATGGCCCAGAGCCGCCCACGCTCCTCCGGCTCCTCCGCCCAGGCCAGGCCGGAGCCACCGTTCAGTCGCACGATCTCCTCTGACAGTGACCAGGAGCCCTGGCATGGGACCCACGGCACCCCCAGGCACCTGGCCCTCACCCCAGGACCTCCTCTGCCCATCCTGGGCATCCATCCCATATCCCAGGATACCCCTGGTCCTCCCATCCCTTGTCCCTGGGCACCCATCCATCACCCTGTGACTTGTCTGGTCACCCCTGTTCCGTGTCCCTGAGCCCGTCAGCAGACCCCCAGCCCACACACCCATCCCTCACCCTGGTGTCTTCCAAGTCCCCATCCCCAGCATCCATCCCTGGTTCCTCTGTTCCTGGTCCGGGGCACCCATCCCTGATCCCAGAACAACCCTGTCCCCCGTCTCCTGTCCCTGGACACTCATCCCTGGGTGTCCATCATGGCCCCCAGCCCCAGGCACCCAATCCTCATGCCTATTCCCATCCATACCCGTCTGCCGTTGCTGCTCAGCCAGGCTGTTCCGGGAGCCATGGAGCTCCAGGAGGAGCGTGGCTGCCACCGGCAGCCCCATCCCGCTGTAGCGGCCACAGGCGTCTGCCATCACCTCATCCAGGAACTCTGGTGAGAGGAGGCGGCGCTCAGTGCCACCACCAGCACCTGGACCCGCGGCCCCACCTCTGGCCCTGGGCACGCACCGATGCGGGCCACGGGCACGGCCGCCTGCAGCACCTGCACCGTGCACGCCACGGCCGCCCCCACGCCGGGGAAGGAGGCGATGGTGGCGGCGGTGGCCTCGGGCAGCGGGTGCAGGCGCAGCGTGGCCTGAGTCAGGAAGCCCAGGGTGCCCTCGGAGCCCACGAAGAGCGAGGTCAGGTCGTAGCCGGCCGCCCGCTTCCTGTGTGGAGCTGGTGAGCAGGTACAGACACACAGGAGCAGCCAGTCCAGCACAGCCCCCCGGCCCCCAGCACCCACCTGGCCTGGCGCCCGGGGCCGGCGGTGTGGAGCAGGCGCCCGTCCGGCAGCACCACGCGCAGGTTGAGAACGTTGGGGCGCATGGTGCCGTAGCGCACGGCGTTGGTGCCCGAGGCACCCGTGGCCGCCATGCCACACAGAGAGGCGTCTGCCCCGGGGTCTGCAAGCAGGGGGTGGGAAGGGGATGGGGGTGGGGATGCTCACCACTCCCCCATGGACATCTCCAGGACCCCTGACCACACTAAAACCATGGGTAACCCCAGCAGCACTGGGGCCATGGCACCTCTGGTCCCATGGGCACCACTGGGACCACAGTGCACCCATGAACACCCCAGGAGCCCCAGCATTCCCGACATCCCCAGCACCCTCAGTGGTGTGACCCCCGGCCCCATGGCCCCCCCATGCCCACGGTACCGACAGGGAACCAGAGCCCGGTGCCACGCAGGTGGCTGTTGAGGGCCTTGCGGGTGACACCGGGCTCCACTGTCACCGAGAAGTCCTCGAGGCTCAGCTCCGCGATGCTGTCCATGCGGCTCAGGTCGAAGCAGACGCCGCCCTGGCACAGGGGCACCGGTGGGTCTTGGCACAGCCGAGCACCGAGAGCCCCGGGGGGGTCAGGGGGTGCCGGGGAGCCGATACCTGCACGGCATTGACACCGCCCTCGAGGCCGGTGCCGGTGCCAAAGGGCACCATGGGCACACGGCGGCGGTAGCAGAGCGCGGCCAACTCCTGGACCTGCCCCACCGACTGGGGCCACACCACGGCGTCCGGGGGGGCACAGCTGGGGGACAGGGGCACCGCTGCCAAAATGACTTCCCCCTCCTCGGGGCCCTTCCCCTCCCCAGCTCTCTTGCCCTCCCTGGGATCCTTCCCCAGGGCTCCCAGCCCCCGAGGGCACTCACGGGTGCATGGACTCATCGTGGCCGTGCTGCTCCCGCACCGCCGTGGCCGTGGAGACGTTGGGGGCCCCGACCACGGCGCTCAGGGCCTCCACAAAGTCGGGGGGCAGCGAGGGCTGCGGGGGAACGACCAGGGCTCCGTCAGGGAGGGGCTGGGGAAGCTCTGCCTGCGGCCCTGGCACACACAACAGCCAAGGGCACGGGGCCCAGCGGCCACGGCAGGACGGGAATGCCCTCGGGGACCCCCGGCCCCACCTTGGAGCAGCAGCTGCGGCGCCCCAGGGCTGTCCCCAGTGCCAGCACCCGCCACAGGGCCATGGCAGGACCGGACAAGAACAGGAACACGGGAACTGAACGACCAGGACCCTGCCCTGCCCTCCCCCCTGGCCGCCGGTCCCTCCCCCACACAGACACCTTAAGGTGGCTCCGGCCACGGGGACGGACACGTGAGTGTGTTCCTGCCAGGGGGACCCATCCCACAGTGCCCGTGGTCACATCCCCACACCGGGCAGGGTCCCAGCCTGAGCCGTGTCACCGCCCCCACCATGGCCCTTGCCCTCCCAACTGTCCCACAGCCCCGTGTTCCCATACCTGCTCAGCTGGCCCTGCAGCTGGCCAGGGGGCCCTCACCCTCTGGGAGGCCACATGGCCCGGGCCTGGGCCGTCCCAGCCAGGTGTCCCCATGCTCAACCAACCGTGTGACCACAAGCAGCCCTGTCCCTCTGACTCCATGCCCAGCCAGGTGTCCCCATTCAGGACCCCGTGTTCCCATGCCCCACTGTCCATCTGTCCCATTTCCCAGCCAGCTGTCCCTGTGCCCCCATTCCTGTCCCTGTTCTCACCCAGATGTCCCCATGCCTCCCAGCCCTCCTGACCGGGTGTCCCCATGTCCCCCCTCACACCACACGCCCCCATCCCCAGCCACCAGTCTCTCAGCCACCCGCCTGTCCCCCGTCCCGCTCCCACCCGTCCCACGGTGGGGACAAGGACACGGTGCTCAGGGGTGGCAGCGTTTATTGGTGTTTATTGCCAGGCTCAGTTGGCCTCCAGGATGGAGTCGATCCAGTCGCGGAGCTCGGTGACACGGGCGTAGACGCCGGGCGTCTGCGTGTCGCAGGTGCTGCTGCCCCAGGACACGATGCCCACCAGGGTCCAGGCGCCGTCCTTCTGGCACACCAGCGGGCCCCCGGAGTCGCCCTGCACGGGGCACTGGGTGAGCACCAGGGAGGGGCCCAGGGGGGCCGAGGGCAGTGGGGTGGCCGGGGGCACCTACCATGCAGGAGGAGGCTCCGTCGGCGCCGGCACAGACCATCACGTCGCGGATGCGGTAGCCCCAGAACTCCTTGCACTGGGCGTTGGTGAGCAGGGGCAGAGCCGCCTGCTGCAGCACCGCCGGTGTCTCCGAGTCTGCGGGAACGGGGCCTCAGCTCCGGCACCGGAGCGACAATGGGGACAAGGACACGGGGGCAGAGGTGGTGACAGGATGGGTCAGGGTTGGGGACTGGGAATGGGAATGAGGAAGGGGACAAGGACGGGGATAGGGATGGGGATGAAGGCAGCGAGGGGGACGAGAAGGTGCCGTACCACTGGAGTCAGTGAGCCCCCAGCCGGTGGTGACGCAGGTCGTGCCCCCCGCGAACTCGTCGGTGGCCTTGGGCAGGCAGACGGGGGACACGCGGTCCGAGAACTGCGCTGGAGTGGCCAGTTTGATCAGGGTGATGTCGTCGCGGATGGTCAGCAGGTTGAACTTGGGGTTCTTGAAGACCTGGAGCAAACAGCACCGCTCCCAGCGCCCGTCCCGCCCACCAGGGTGCCAGGCACTGGGCACTCCTCAGGGACCCATGGGGACGCCGGGGAACGGTCCTGTGGGTCCCGTGCTGGCCGGGTGCCTGAGCTCCAGAGCCCAGCCCCTGGGACACGGGGGAGCAGGGACACCCTGTGCCACATCACCTGCAGGGATGAAGGGGACCCTGGGGGCGTGACCCCCATCCCTTGGGGCTCCTGGGGACACCCTGGCAACCCGGCCTGAAGATGGGGGGGAGCAGGGACACCCCAGGGCATCGCAGCCCAGGGATGTAGGGAACCACGGACACCCCAGGGAAGCCTGACCCTCAGGGAAAGGGCAACCAGGGACTCCTTGGGGACCCAACCCCCAGGACAAGGGGGACCCGGACACAGCCCCCCGAGTCCCTGTGGTGGCCCAGCAGGCACACAGCCCCCGCCCCAGCGGTACCTTCTCGATGGTCAGCGTCTGTTGAGCAGTGCTGGGGTTGTTCTGGTCATAGGCACCCACCACCACTTTGTCGGTTTTCCTGGGCACGGGCAGGCACTGAGCACAGGGCACGGGCACGGGGAGGGGGCAGCTCTCACAGCCCCGTGTCCGTGCCCAACCCCGCGCCGCCAGCAGCAGAGCCGGTGCCTACCTGACGCCGCAGTGGGCAGCGGTGACCACCCAGTTCTCGCTGATCAGGGACCCGCCGCAGAAGTGGAAGCTCCCGTAGCGCTGCCGGGGAGAGCTGCCCTCAGCACCCGGCACCGCCGACGGGTGCTCTGTGCCCGGCCCCCCACACGGCACCCACCCCTGGCCCGGCTCTCACCTGCAGGGACACCTGCCATGGCCAGGACCCCGGCACTGCCGGCTCCCCGTTGACGATGCGGGTGTAGCCACGGACGACGGGGGCGATGGCGGGCACGCCGCAGTCTGCGGGGCACAGGCGGCCGTGGCACGGGGGCTCCGGCTGCTCTGGCCCCGTGTCCCCTCCCCACCACTGCCACCCCACCAAGCCCCAGGCCCACCCTGCCAACCCCCACGGCCCCACGCACCCTCAGGGAGGGTGGCACGGGCAAAGCCCACCAGAGCCAGGCAGCTCAGCAGCCACAGCAGAGCCATTGTCACTCGTCAGGATGGACTCTGCCTGGCACCCGGTGCCTCTTATACCCACCCTGGGCACGTCCCCGCAGCTGCTGGCCTTGCCACCGCAGCCTTGGGAGATAGGGTTGCACCTGGTACGGTGCCATGACGTGGCCTGGGAGCATGGCACCTGGAGCCAGTGTCCTTGGCTATGGCTGTTGGACAGCACATGGTCCAAGTTCTGGCTTAAAAATGTCCTTAGTCCGGTGCATGGGGTGAGTTCTCACTTGGTCATGGAATCATAGTAAAGTGGTTATGGTTGGAAGGGTCCTCACAGGCCAACTTGTCTGTAAAGGCTCTGCTGCCTTTTTTTTTTTTTTTTTTAATCTAATGTGAAGGAAGGAGCTGGAAGACCATTCCTGTTGAGAGGAATGATGAAACTCAGCCCAGACATCCACTATAATAGGAACAAATGGGAATTGTGGGCCCACAGGAATATCAGAGCAGTGAAGCAAATGTTGGTAGAAATAGGCTATGAAAGGCATGTGGGAATTGCAGCTCTGGTGCCAAAATGAGCCCATGCCAGCCTGGGTCCTTATCACAAAATCACAGAATGGTTTGGGTGGGACGGGATCTTAAAGTTCATCTTGTTCCAGTCCCCCTGTCATGGGCAGAGATACCTTCCACAATCCCAGGTTGCTCCAAGCTCCACCCAACCTGGCCTTGAACACTTCCAGGAATGGGGTAGCCACAGCTTCTCTGGGTAACCTGTGCCAGGGCCTCCCCACCCTCACAGGGGAGGATCTCTTCCTAATCTCTATTCTAACCCTACCCTCTGTCAGTTTGAAGCCATTCTACCCTTCTTCTGTCAGTCCATGCCCTTGTCTCAAGTCCCTCTCCAGCTCTCCTGTAGTCCCTTTAGGCACTGGAAGGTGCTCTAAGGTCTCCCTGGAGCTGTCTCTTCTCCAGGCTGAAGAACCCCAACTCTTCCAGTCTCCCTCCATAGCTGAGGCACTCTGTTCCTTAGCGGACCTCTGTGAGCTTCTCTGGACCCACTCCAGCATGTCCACATTGTTCTTATGTTGGGGTCCAGGGCTTGACACAGTGCTCCGGGTGGGGTCTCAACATAGTGGAGCAGAGGGGCAGAATCCCCCCCCCTTGACCTGCTGCCCACACTGCTGGAGATGCAGCCCAGGATACGTTCAGCTTTCTGGGCTGCCAGGATAGGCTGTCATGGGATGGTGGAATTTCCAAACTCCATGGAGTTCACCTGAGGTTAGGACCATGGAGTTCACCTGAGGTTAGGACCATGGAGTTCACCTGAGGTTAGGTCTGCAGAGCCCTTCCCAGCTGCCACCCAGGCAGGGGCACAGGGTCTCTGTTCATTCACAGGGCCAGGCCCCCGGGACATCAAAGAATTGGGTGACGAGATGGTTCCAGGGTTGGCAATGTGCTGGTGGCACCGTACCAGGTGCAACCCTATCTCCCAAGGCTGCGGTGGCAAGGCCAGCAGCTGCGGGGATGTGCCCAGGGTGGGTATAAGAGGCACCGGGTGCCAGGCAGAGTCCATCCTGACGAGTGACAATGGCTCTGCTGTGGCTGCTGAGCTGCCTGGCTCTGGTGGGCTTTGCCCGTGCCACCCTCCCTGAGGGTGCGTGGGGCCGTGGGGGTTGGCAGGGTGGGCCTGGGGCTTGGTGGGGTGGCAGTGGTGGGGAGGGGACACGGGGCCAGAGCAGCCGGAGCCCCCGTGCCACGGCCGCCTGTGCCCCGCAGACTGCGGCGTGCCCGCCATCGCCCCCGTCGTCCGTGGCTACACCCGCATCGTCAACGGGGAGCCGGCAGTGCCGGGGTCCTGGCCATGGCAGGTGTCCCTGCAGGTGAGAGCCGGGCCAGGGGTGGGTGCCGTGTGGGGGGCCGGGCACAGAGCACCCGTCGGCGGTGCCGGGTGCTGAGGGCAGCTCTCCCCGGCAGCGCTACGGGAGCTTCCACTTCTGCGGCGGGTCCCTGATCAGCGAGAACTGGGTGGTCACCGCTGCCCACTGCGGCGTCAGGTAGGCACCGGCTCTGCTGCTGGCGGCGCGGGGTTGGGCACGGACACGGGGCTGTGAGAGCTGCCCCCTCCCCGTGCCCGTGCCCTGTGCTCAGTGCCTGCCCGTGCCCAGGAAAACCGACAAAGTGGTGGTGGGTGCCTATGACCAGAACAACCCCAGCACTGCTCAACAGACGCTGACCATCGAGAAGGTACCGCTGGGGCGGGGGCTGTGTGCCTGCTGGGCCACCACAGGGACTCGGGGGGCTGTGTCCGGGTCCCCCTTGTCCTGGGGGTTGGGTCCCCAAGGAGTCCCTGGTTGCCCTTTCCCTGAGGGTCAGGCTTCCCTGGGGTGTCCGTGGTTCCCTACATCCCTGGGCTGCGATGCCCTGGGGTGTCCCTGCTCCCCCCCATCTTCAGGCCGGGTTGCCAGGGTGTCCCCAGGAGCCCCAAGGGATGGGGGTCACGCCCCCAGGGTCCCCTTCATCCCTGCAGGTGATGTGGCACAGGGTGTCCCTGCTCCCCCGTGTCCCAGGGGCTGGGCTCTGGAGCTCAGGCACCCGGCCAGCACGGGACCCACAGGACCGTTCCCCGGCGTCCCCATGGGTCCCTGAGGAGTGCCCAGTGCCTGGCACCCTGGTGGGCGGGACGGGCGCTGGGAGCGGTGCTGTTTGCTCCAGGTCTTCAAGAACCCCAAGTTCAACCTGCTGACCATCCGCGACGACATCACCCTGATCAAACTGGCCACTCCAGCGCAGTTCTCGGACCGCGTGTCCCCCGTCTGCCTGCCCAAGGCCACCGACGAGTTCGCGGGGGGCACGACCTGCGTCACCACCGGCTGGGGGCTCACTGACTCCAGTGGTACGGCACCTTCTCGTCCCCCTCGCTGCCTTCATCCCCATCCCTATCCCCGTCCTTGTCCCCTTCCTCATTCCCATTCCCAATCCCCAACCCTGACCCATCCTGTCACCACCTCTGCCCCCGTGTCCTTGTCCCCATTGTCGCTCCGGTGCCGGAGCTGAGGCCCTGTTCCCGCAGACTCGGAGACACCGGCGGTGCTGCAGCAGGCGGCTCTGCCCCTGCTCACCAACGCCCAGTGCAAGGAGTTCTGGGGCTACCGCATCCGCGACGTGATGGTCTGTGCCGGCGCCGACGGAGCCTCCTCCTGCATGGTAGGTGCCCCCGGCCACCCCACTGCCCTCGGCCCCCCTGGGCCCCTCCCTGGTGCTCACCCAGTGCCCCGTGCAGGGCGACTCCGGGGGCCCGCTGGTGTGCCAGAAGGACGGCGCCTGGACCCTGGTGGGCATCGTGTCCTGGGGCAGCAGCCCCTGCGACACGCAGACGCCCGGCGTCTACGCCCGTGTCACCGAGCTCCGCGACTGGATCGACTCCATCCTGGAGGCCAACTGAGCCTGGCAATAAACACCAATAAACGCTGCCACCCCTGAGCACCGTGTCCTTGTCCCCACCGTGGGACGGGTGGGAGCGGGACGGGGGACAGGCGGGTGGCTGAGAGACTGGTGGCTGGGGATGGGGGCGTGTGGTGTGAGGGGGGACATGGGGACACCCGGTCAGGAGGGCTGGGAGGCATGGGGACATCTGGGTGAGAACAGGGACAGGAATGGGGGCACAGGGACAGCTGGCTGGGAAATGGGACAGATGGACAGTGGGGCATGGGAACACGGGGTCCTGAATGGGGACACCTGGCTGGGCATGGAGTCAGAGGGACAGGGCTGCTTGTGGTCACACGGTTGGTTGAGCATGGGGACACCTGGCTGGGACGGCCCAGGCCCGGGCCATGTGGCCTCCCAGAGGGTGAGGGCCCCCTGGCCAGCTGCAGGGCCAGCTGAGCAGGTATGGGAACACGGGGCTGTGGGACAGTTGGGAGGGCAAGGGCCATGGTGGGGGCGGTGACACGGCTCAGGCTGGGACCCTGCCCGGTGTGGGGATGTGACCACGGGCACTGTGGGATGGGTCCCCCTGGCAGGAACACACTCACGTGTCCGTCCCCGTGGCCGGAGCCACCTTAAGGTGTCTGTGTGGGGGAGGGACCGGCGGCCAGGGGGGAGGGCAGGGCAGGGTCCTGGTCGTTCAGTTCCCGTGTTCCTGTTCTTGTCCGGTCCTGCCATGGCCCTGTGGCGGGTGCTGGCACTGGGGACAGCCCTGGGGCGCCGCAGCTGCTGCTCCAAGGTGGGGCCGGGGGTCCCCGAGGGCATTCCCGTCCTGCCGTGGCCGCTGGGCCCCGTGCCCTTGGCTGTTGTGTGTGCCAGGGCCGCAGGCAGAGCTTCCCCAGCCCCTCCCTGACGGAGCCCTGGTCGTTCCCCCGCAGCCCTCGCTGCCCCCCGACTTTGTGGAGGCCCTGAGCGCCGTGGTCGGGGCCCCCAACGTCTCCACGGCCACGGCGGTGCGGGAGCAGCACGGCCACGATGAGTCCATGCACCCGTGAGTGCCCTCTGGGGCTGGGAGCCCTGGGGAAGGATCCCAGGGAGGGCAAGAGAGCTGGGGAGGGGAAGGGCCCCGAGGAGGGGGAAGTCATTTTGGCAGCGGTGCCCCTGTCCCCCAGCTGTGCCCCCCCGGACGCCGTGGTGTGGCCCCAGTCGGTGGGGCAGGTCCAGGAGTTGGCCGCGCTCTGCTACCGCCGCCGTGTGCCCATGGTGCCCTTTGGCACCGGCACCGGCCTCGAGGGCGGTGTCAATGCCGTGCAGGTATCGGCTCCCCGGCACCCCCTGACCCCCCCGGGGCTCTCGGTGCTCGGCTGTGCCAAGACCCACCGGTGCCCCTGTGCCAGGGCGGCGTCTGCTTCGACCTGAGCCGCATGGACAGCATCGCGGAGCTGAGCCTCGAGGACTTCTCGGTGACAGTGGAGCCCGGTGTCACCCGCAAGGCCCTCAACAGCCACCTGCGTGGCACCGGGCTCTGGTTCCCTGTCGGTACCGTGGGCATGGGGGGCCATGGGGCCGGGGGTCACACCACTGAGGGTGCTGGCAGAGGGGATGCCTTTTGGCTGGGGATGCTGGGGGGTCCACGGGTCTGCCATGGTCCCTGAGTTGTAGCAGGGTGCCCCAGGACTGAGAGTGCCATGGACCCAGTACTCTGGGGTCCACATGAGGCTGGGGTACTGGTGTCCCAAAGGTGCTGGAAGGGATGGGTTCCCAGGACCACCAAGACTGGGCTACTGCCCTCTCTACCACACCAAACCCACAGCCGCCATGGTGGGCCATGAATGTCCTGTGAGAGATGCCCTCCCCACCTCAAGCCAGAGCCAGAGTGGCCCCACTGCCCCGCACTGCCACCCCTCATTTCCCCCAACCCCCCACATGCCCCATTAAACCTCTGTGCACCAGCAGTCTCCATTGGCTATGAGATCTTTTAGGGGGACAGGATCCCCGCAGCCCTGCACCAGGGGCTCTCCCTCGCCTCAGCAGGCACACGCAGATACCCAGGAGATGGAGGGCGTTTGTAGGCAAATCTTTATGCTGCTGGGGGACTTGGGGCCAAGTTTTGGAGGGGGCTGCCACGCGGTAGCTCCGGGAACCAGCGGAAGCTTCCCCTGTGTTCAAAAGGCACCAATTTCAGTTCACGTTTCGGTTACAGCTGGTACTGTATCACACCCCGAGACGTGAGAACGCACAGGTTAGCCCCTTCCTGCCCCAGCAGCTCCCCACCATCCCTTACCCCCCTGGGGACCCCTATCCCCAGGCTCCAGCACACAGGGGGACAGTACAACCTCTCTGTGTCATACTGTCCCACCACCACAGGGGATGGCTTCCACACCATTAGAATCTGCTGGCCACTGTAGAGTGGCTCTGGTGTCCCCCCGAGAGCGGGGCAGCCACAGCAACACCTCAAATTGCCAGGCACATCCTTGTCTCAAGAGGGACACGGCCCCATGCCCTCCAGACCAGGACCGGCTGCCGGTTTTGTATAGAGAGAGGACAGCAGGGAAGGATTGGGCATAGATGCACCTCCCAGCTTTGCTTCATTACGGGCACAGCTCTGAAACCATTCCTGGCCTCCGGCCAGAGGGAAGAAGAGGGAAGGAGATGATGGCTGCAGCCCATCCCTCCCCTCCCCATGGAGCCCCAGCCCCCCGGTGTGCATGAGTCTCTATGTACATGTCCGCTTACACCAGGTGGAGAGGACTCCCATGGAGGGGAACACATGTCTGGGGAGGGGTGGGGGCCAGAGAGAGGGGACAGTGGCCCTGAGGCCATCACATGGCTGCCAGCTGGCCCAGCACCATCCTGAACTGCTGCGTGCTGTTGGCGAGTTCCTTGACGCGCTCCACCATGTCCTTGGACGCGGCAGGAGAAGGGTAGTGAAGGGCGGCTGCCTTGGTGGTCGCCACGATCTCCTTGAGCATCTCACAGAGGAGGTTGCTGTAGTGCATCACCTTGTGCTGGACATCCTGGGCCTTGGCCTGGCGGGACAGCGTGTCCCCAATGAGGACGAGCTTGTGGGCGCTGAGGATGACGAACTTGCTGTGGGCCACGAAGATCTTGGGGGGTTGGTTGGTGCTGACGGCGGTGAAGAAGGCGTCGACAGCATTGGTGAACGTGGTAAGGTTGGCCTCGCACTGCTCCAGGTAGAAGAGGAGGAGCTGGCGGTCGGCAGGACACAGGGTCCCGCTGCCCCGTGCCGGGCCATAGTGTTGGGAGGGGCTCCAGTTGGACAGGTCATTGTCGATGGGGCGCGACACCTCCTGCTCCAGCCGCTCAAACTGCTTCAGCTGTGGGAGAGATGAGTGTGAGGCAGGGTGGCCACTGAGCCAGCACCTGGCTCCCCCTCCCCGGAGCCACCAGCACGGGTGGCCATGGCCACCAGCCCCAGGGAAAAGAGCGAGGGACAGTGCCAGCCTCAGGACAACTATACCACACCCCTCTCCAGAAGCCAGGTGTCTATGCCCCTCTCCACTGGCACAGCATTGGTATGGTATGGAAGGCAAGATAAAACCCTCCACTGGGACAGACAGGGAAGAGGGCTGTGGTCAGACCGGCAGCAGAGGTTATGAGGGAAGCAGGACCTGAGGCCCTGCCTGCTCTGGGCACTGTGCTCAGCAGTGCCTACCTGCCTGCCCTGGTGCCCTTACCTGCTGGTGCTCCAGCTGGTCCTTGCTCTGTCGGATGATATTGCCTTTCTCCAGCAACTCCTTCTGGGTCTTCTCGAACTCCTCCTTGCCCTGCAGGAGCATGACATGGAAGGGGTCAGCAACATCAGCCTTGCCAGAGCAAGCTCCCACCTGCCCCAGGATACCCCTGGTCCCCACAACCCTCAAGTTGGAGGATAAGAGCAAGACATGTGTGGCAGAAGCAGATCTGCCTAATCCCCCTGTGCCGGGGAGGCACCGGCACAAACGCTCCCTGTGGGGAGTGGCCCCCCCGCCCGTGCCCACCTGGAGATGGACATAGTCGTAGTCCTCCATCCAGCCACTCTCACTGTTCTCGTAGGGCCCGTCGGGCGACTCCTGGGCCAGCAGCTTGGGCGGGGAGGGCAGGGGCCGGGACTGGATGCTGTTGGCTTTGTCGGAGGGGTGAGGGGGCCCATGGCCACCACTCTCCACCGCCGGCTTTGTCCGTTTGAAGAGGAGGGAGGCATTGCCATGCAGGAAGGAAGCCAACTGCTTGGTGTCATCAGGGACACCACGTGAGTGCATGATGAAGTGCTCCAAGTCATCCGCGCCCGGCTTGCTGCTGGCCAGCGCACTGGGGGCCCAGTGGCAAGCGTCCAGCATTTGGCCGTGCCGTGCCAGGGCCTGGTAGACCTCCTCCATCTTCTGCAGCTGCTTGCTTAGCTTGGCGTACAGGGAGCGGTCGGAGGCCTGGGCAGCATTGCCCACTGCCCCCCGGGCAAACTCCAGCAGGTCCCGGAGGGCCGTCCGGACGCCCTCGGCCGCGCCGCGGATGCTGGCGGCGTTGGCCTCCATGTGCTCGGGGCTGCGCCAGTTGGTGCCGATAAAGGACATGAGGTAGGAGACGGCGCTGCTGACGCCGTGCTGGAGCTTGGCCAGTGTCTCCATAGCGGCGTCCAAGTCCAGGGAGAACTCCTTGCCGGCTCCCTTGGCCGGCTCCTTCACGGGCACCACATCCAGTGAGGACGTGGAGATGTTGCTGCGGGTGCTGCCCGTGCTGGAGGCTGAGAGGCGCTTGGCGTCGGCGCCCTTGGCCTCGCGGTCCACTTGCGGTGGGACATCGTAGATGTACTCGCCCTCTGTGTCCACGGAGCCCTTACCCGGGGCGTGCAGGTCCCGGGGCACGTCGTACACCTCCTGGGAGGGGAAGGTGGATCCCCCCAGCTTCTTGAGGCTGGGGGGCACGTCGTAGATCTCATGGGAGAGCGGCTGCTCAGGAGCACCCTTCCCAGCTGCCGGTGGCACATCATAGACATCCTCTGGCAAGTAGGGCTCCTGCTGGGCCAGGATGAGGTGGCGGGAGGGGTCGAAGGTTTTCTGCTTGGCGAAGGCGGGGGGCACGTCGTAGGTCTCCTCCCGTGCCGGGCCATCCGGCACGTCCTTGCTGACCGAGGGGGGGACGTCGTACACCTGCAAGGGCAGAGCAGCAGGCACTGTCAGCACTGCTGGGAGGGCTGGCCTGGCTCAGGCACAGAGGTGCAGACGGGTTGCCCAATGCTGTGGGGCACACAAGAGCCACCTCTGAGCATGCACGATGGCACTGGGTGGGCACCAGGATGGAGCCATGCACCCCAGGGGTTCCCCTGCCCTTTGGGACAGGAATCACAACATCCTAGAGCAGCCCAGGTTGGAAGGGACCTTGAAACATCACGGAATCCAAACTCATCCCCTGGATGTGAACATCCAGCACCCTGCCTCCTGGTACCCTGAAAGCCTCCAGTGCCAGGGACACCATCACATCTCTGGGGAAACTGATCCCTGGGAGAGTGAATTATTGTTTTCCCTATAAAAATCTGTCTTTCTTATAGAGAAGCTGGGAGGTTCCTAGCAGCACTTACAGTTTGGGGCAGGTTCTTCTCCACGCTGGGGGGCACATCGTAGATCTCCTGCCCTGGGTCCTGCCCATTGGGACCCTTCACTGCCATGGGGGGGGTGTCATAGACCTGGAGAGGGGGACACAGAATGATATATCAGAGATGGCATGGGTACTCATCTCTGCCCAGGGACCAACTGGGAAAGATGGAGGTGCCCAGAAGCAGTCCCAAGCTTCATAAAGTGCACAGTTTTGGGTGCCATTTGCCCAGTTTTGGATCCCCAACTGTGCCAGGTCATTTCTCATTCTAGAGGATGGAGCCAAAGATACCCCCTCGACCCCACAAGCAGCCTCACCTCCTGGTTGAACTGGCTCGGGACCCCCCCTCGGACAGGCGGCACATCGTAGATCTCCTGGGAACCCGTGGAGATGAGGTGGCGAGGGAAATCATACTCAACCTGCTCACCCTTGGGGGAGTCATAGACATACACCTGCCCCATGCGGGTGGGCACCAGCACCTGGAAAAAGATGGAAAAGTGATGTAGGGACTGCCGAGCACCCCCCCAGCCTGCATCATCCCCCCCAGACGCAGCGCGGGGCTGCAGAGGGGCTGGGTGCGCGGTCCGTACCCGCCGGTGCGGCAGCGGGCACGGCGGTGCCCACGGGAGGGCGCTCCCCGGCCGGGCGTGCAGGCTGCCGGGGACGGGATGATCTCACCGGTTATTTATAGCGGCGATAGAGCCTCGCAGAGAGACAAAGCCCGGCCGGCACGGCCGCGGGGAGCACCACGGAAGAGCCGATTCGGGCATCGAGCTGTGGGCAGAGATCTGCCTACGCCTGGAAACCCCTGCCCACGGCTTCACCCCCGAATTGGTCGTTCCATGGTGACACGAGCGCGGCAAATAACCAAACCTAGAGGGTCATGGCACTCTGCCCAACTGGTGCTAAGAAGGGCTGAGGTGTCAGGCTGGTTCTCAGTTTTAGGATGCTCCTCATGCCCTGGATGTGATTGGCAGCTCCCTCTCCTCACTGGCTACTTCCCAGGGGTGTGAGTCAGGTAGCCTTCCCAGAAAACGCGATACCGAAAGCACCTCACTCCTCTTCCCTGGGATGAAGTGCCAGAGAAGGGGCAGAGCCAGGAGGAGCCTGGTGTCGGGGATGGAGCTGTTAGGCTCCATGCTGGGGACAGGCTGGTGGCTCACCCTTGCCTCACCAGTAAATCCAGCAAGCACTGGCAGGCTCTTTGGCACAGCCAGGACATGCTGGCACCCGCTGCCTGCTCCTGCCCGCGCTCCCAGCAGGAATGAAACCTCACAGCACTGTGCTGGGTACCACAGCTACTTCCACAGCTGCAGAATCTGGCCAAAGGAGCCCTTGGGTTATCAGCACCCTGCACCCACACCAGACATGTTGCCATGCCCTGAGTGACAATGGCAGAGCCCACCAAGAGACCATGAGGACCCAAGTGCCAAATGCTGTGCCAGCCCCAAGCGGGGCAGCCCAGGTCAACCAGGGCACCACAGCCACTGCAGAGACTCCCTCACTGCACCCCCTCCTGCCAGCAGTGCGGGGAAGGATGCCCACACAACTCCAGCAATGGGCACAAGGGCTGCCCACTCCAAGAGACACCAGTGGGCTGATAAGCCCAAGCCCTGCCACCCACTCACACCCATGGACCACAGAGCACCCCACAACTATAACATGCTCCCCAATCCAGTCTCCCCGTCCTACCTTTCCCTGGGGCTTGTGCCCTTCCCAGCTCCTCATGTCCAGCGACGGGGGCACCTGGTAGATTTCTTGAGCCTGACCAGCTGAGGGAGGAACCTGGTAGACATCCTGGGGAGGACTGGCAGAACCCCCGGGGTACGCCTCTGCTGCCTGGCCCAGGGAGGGGGGCACCTGGTAGATCTCCTGGCCGGGGCTGGGGAAGGTGTGGGGAGGTGCCTGCTTCGGGAAGGTGGGTGGCTGCTTAGCCGGGGCAGGAGGAAACTGTCCGGTGGGTGCCGAGCCCGGGTACAGACTCTGCTGTCCCTTGTTGGGGACCGGCATCAGGTAGACGTTGTCCCCTTGGGGGGCATAAGCAGGGTGCATGGGTGTGTACTGCGAGGCGGGCGACAGCGGGGTGTATCCCCCTTGGTGGTGGTACGGCAGAGCCGGCTGGGGCACCGACGGCTGCGGCGGCGCCTGCCCCTGCGCCGGGCCGGGCGCTTGCTGCTGCTGCTGCTGCTTCTTGTCGTACATCCCCACCAGGATCTTGAGGCGGTTCCCGGGGACGATGCCCTGCCGGCCGTGGAGCGAGCAGAGCCACCAGCCGTCCAGCCCCTGCGTGTTGCGCTCCAGCACCGTCATGATGTCGCCCTTGCGGAAGGAGAGCTCGTCCGGGGACTCGGCCACGTTGTCGTACAGCGCCTTGGCCAGCACGTTCTGGAAGAGAGCCCCGCGCCGGGGCGGTGAGCCGGGCCCCGCCGGCCGCGGGGGCGTCATCCCGGCGGGCCGGCAGCTCAGCGCCGGCACCGAGCCCCGCGGGCCGAGGGCTTCGCCGAGCGCCTCCCGCCAGCGGGATCTGCCCGCTCCGACCGCCGAGGGATTCCCCGCTGGAGCTCAACCCACTCTTCCCAGAGGTGGTGCTGGGAAGGGGCCGGGCCCTTCCTCCTCCCCGGTTTCGGGGGGCCTCCTCTGCCTCTCCCGCCCCTTCCCTCCGCCGCCGGGGAGGAAGTGCCGGGGCGGTGAGTCAGCCGTGTCCGTGGCCATCCCACGGCTCCCGCCGCCGGGCCTGGGCCCCTCCGGCCCCGCGGGGTCCCCGGCCCGGGCCAGGACGGCACCTGCCAGCGCTGCCCGGGGGGGAGTGCGGCCCGCCCGGGGCGGCGGGGCCCGATCCCCGGCTCTCCCGCGGCTCTGCCCGGGCCCTGCCCGCCGCCGGTGCCACCCTGCCCGGCGGGGCGGGGGGCGGAGGCCCGGGGAGGCCCCTGGCCCCGGTGGGGCCCCTGCGGGTCCCGCAGAGCCGCGACCCGCCGGGAGCGACGGAGGGCGGGCAAGGCCTGACCGCCCCGATGCGGCGGGGCTCGGCCAAGGTCACGCCAGCGAGATCGGCCGCACCGAAGGGGCCCAACCCATGGTGGGGGGACTGCGGCCTTCCTCCTCCATCCCCTCCTCCTCCTCCTCCTCCTCCTCCTCCTCCCTGGCGGGGCCCCCCGCCAGCCGTTCCCCCGCGTCCCGCCTGTCCCCGCGCACGTCGCCGTGCCTCCCCCCGCCCCGCTCACCAGGTAGTTCATCTTCCCGCGGGGCCGGGCCGGCCGCGGCGGGGGCCGGGCCGGGAGCAGGGCCGGGGCCAGGCCGGGCCGGGCCGGGCCGGGGGCGGCGGGGCCGGGGCCGGGGCGCGCGGGCGGCGGCGCCACACGGAGCGTTCGTTATAGCGCCGCGCGCGCCCGGCCCCGGCCCCGCCCGCCGCCATTGGCTGCGCCCACGGGGGCGGGGCCCCAGGCAGGGGCGGGGCCCGGGAGGGGCGGAGCCCGAGAGGGGCGGGGCGGAGGGGGCGGGGCGAGTGTGTATCGTGTGTGTAAAGGGCGTGGAACGGGTGTGTAAAGGGTGTGCAATGTGTGTGCAAAGGGTGTGCAATGTGTGTGCAAAGGGTGTGCAATGCGTGTGCAAAGGGCGTGGAACGGGTGTGTAAAGGGTGTGCAATGTGTGTGCAAAGGGTGTGCAATGCGTGTGCACAGGGCATGGAACGGGTGTGTAAAGGAGGGTAATGGGTGTGCAGTGAAGGGCAATGAGTGTGTAAGACATGCAGTGGGTGTGTAACGGGTGTGCAGCAAGGGGTAAGGCAGTGTAACGGGCGTGAAACAGCTGTGCAGTGAAGGGCAACGTGTGTAAGGGCTTGCAATAGGTGTGCAAATGAAGGGTAAAGGCTGTACAGTGAGTGTGTAGTGAGCAAAGGGTAATGGGAGTGTAACTGGTGTGCAATGGGTGTGCAACAAAGGGTGACAGGAGCGTAACTGGGGTGTTCTGGGGTGTGTAACGGGCAGGGTGTGTAACGGCAGGGGGATGTAAGGGGCAGGTAACGGGCGAGTGTAGGTGCAATGGCTCACATGGCAGAGCACACATGGCACACCATGGCACACGTGGCATACATGGCACACCTCTGCCGCCCGCCTGGCCTGTTCCAACAGCCCGCCCACGTGGCCCACGGGCACCCCAACAGCTGGTGAGCCTGGACCTGGCATCTGCCACGCGCCGCAGGCCCTGCCATCAGCAGCACGGCCGGGAGCAGGCGGGGAGGGCCGCGGGGCTCCCTGGGAGCTGTGGGATGCACATGTGTGAGCTGTGTGGGGACACAGGACCTGTGGACACGCACAAGCTGCATGGACACCCACGCTGCTCCCCAAGCATGCGAGAGCACGCAGGGAACCACGGAAAGGGACACGAGGGGTGAATGCAGCTGCGTGGGCACACGGGCGAGTGGGTGGCGCGGGGCCCGCGTGAGAGCCGCGGGCAGTGAGTGAGCGCTGTGTGCGGGGGCAGGCAAGGAATGTGCCCCTGCCCCTGCCCGTGCCTTCCGGCCACAGTCCCCGCAATGGCATTTCCTCTCACCCTCAGGGGTTACCTTTGGGCCACAGGCCGCATCAGCGTGCAGTGGCAACGTAGAGGCCAGACTGCAAACACATGCCCTTCTCCAAAAAGCAGGGCTTGTTCTACTCCCTGAGAGTCACCACCGCTGTCCCCTGCTGGAGGCACGTTTCCCTGCTCATGGCTGGCAGAAAGGGACACTGAGGCACAGCCGAGGTTGGCAGATATCCGGAGGCAGAGACTGCGGTTGCACCCGCAAACCGCAGCTGCCCCAGCACGGGGGACTGTGGTTTCCTCTTGTTGGTGACAGTGGTGACAGCGCAGGGACTGAGTGCCATGGGCATCCTTGGGATGGGCTCTAAGCTCCCCAGCCCCTCTCCCACCAATGCAGCTGATCCCATGAGGCCATGGTGTGTTTGGAGACCCTGAGCCTCGTGTGGGCCCACCCAGCCAGTAGCAAGGGTCTCCTGGGATCCCTGGGGTGTCCCCAGGGTAAAGCTCCCACCATATGGTTTCAGGCAGGTGCGGAGGGGCCGCAAACTCCCTTCTTTCAGACTTCAAAGCAGTGGGGATTTCATTTTTCCCTCTCCCTGTGCTGATGCTCAGATCAAAGTGTTCCCTGTCGAACTCGATCCCATTTTTGGTCCATTGGAGCCAAAATCACTGCTTGCATCTGCTGAACACCCTGAGCTAGCAATGGCTCCTGCACACCCCTGCTTCCACAGCCAAGTGCCCGGGGGGCAACAGGCACCAACAGGTCTCCCTTCGGCTTCTCCCACCTCTGAGAAAACAAAATGCCAAAAAGAAGATCAAAAGTGGAGCATTCCAGGGGCCCTGTGGCACTGGGGATGCTCAGAGCTGGGCTGGCGCTGCCCGAACATCCCTGTGTTGCTGGTGGTGGGGCACAGCGAGGGTCTCGCCAGTCCCAAGCCGTGGTTCTTTGCTGGCTCTGGTGGACACGGGGCTGGGTGTTTCGGGGTGGATGCTGCTCGGGATGCAGGTTGCCCCAGCAACGGTTGCTATGGAAAACACTTCAGTGGCAAAATTTCCAGCCATATTCACATGTCTGTCATTGTCTTCCAGAGGGTCCCTGGTGTACGACGAGCCAGGCACGGCTGGCTCTGCACTGGGCTGCAGGGGACTGGCTGTGCCCAGCCTGGCTTCTCCTGGCTTTTCGCAGCTCTTCCCGCTGGTTCTGGTGTGAGAAGGTGTCAGAGGCCCTTAAAGTGGGATTTAGGGGAGCACGGCAGACATGCATGGGACAGGGGGAGCAGGCTGTGCTGAGCCATGCCATATTAATTGGCTAATTGCTGATCAGTGTTCCGTTGGCCCAGCCATGCCGCAAACATCAGATGAGATGTGTTTTGGTGAACCCATGCCAGGCCTGGCATAGCTCTGGGACAGCAGGACATATTGGGAAAGGGGCTGGCACTGGGATGCTTGCAGGCACCAACAGCTCCATCCAGGGCTGCCTGCTCCTGCCCACAGCCCTGCCAGGTCCGTGCTTCAGAAAGCCTCTCCTCACCTCCTGGAGCAGCAATAGGATTACACGGGACTGAGTCTCCTAGCAATGAACAGAGAAATAAATCCTATAAGGCAGGACAGGATTTATTAGACTTCAATATTCTGGAAATAATGAGGACATTTCTCTTGGCTTGTAATATCACGGGACCCAACAGGATCACAACCAGGATTTATCCCTGTGCTTCTCCAGGGGGCTGGGTCAGTTCTTAGCTGCAGAGAGAAGATGTCATGGGAGACTGCTTGCTTTTTGAGAGCAGGATGACAGGGCACCCCCTCATCTCCAGAGAAGCTGAGGCCGAGTGCGGGCCTTGGGCTGCCCCAACAGTAGCGGCTCTGTTTGTCTCCCCATTCATTCCCTGGCGAGGGCTGGCGCTGATCCTCGCCCCCAGCCGGGGCTCGCCGGGGAGCAGGAAGGGCTGGCTGTGCCACCAACACCAGCTGAGCTTCAAATGCCAGTGCCAGCACTCACCAACAGCACAAGGATCCCCCGGGGGGGACCGTCCTCATACGGAGTGGGAGACCCACTGCTGCTGGATGGGACACTGCTGTGAGGTTGGAAGTGGCAGCTTGGAAAAGAGGATGTGGTGCTGCCAGGATCACCTGCCAGGCACCAGCCCTGCCCCTTGGGGAACTGCTGCCCTGGCTGCGGGGAGGTGCTCCCAGGGTCAGTTCCACACTCTGCTCCTTCCTTCTCCAAGCTGCCACGCTCTGCCCCATGGCAGCTCAGTCCATGGATCCCATCGAGTCCTTGGGACAGCCTGGTGGGGGCCATGAGATGCACCCCCAGGCAGCCAGCGGAACCGACATTTATTCCCCCTTCCCTGTCACTAAAGCAGCATTAAATGCAAGACATCACCTCCCCATCGCAACTGCCCCGGCTCCAGAACAGCCTCCCCAAAGCCCAACAGCTCAGTAAAGCCGAGCCTGCGGGTGCGGGTTGGACACAGCCATTTTTCCCGTGGCTCCAGCATGTGGACACCACGGCAGAAGCCCCGACCATCGGGGCACACGGACACAATTGGAGCCTTGTCTGGGGCTCAGCTGCACAAGGGGCCCCTTCAGGCAGCCAGAGAAGGGGGAGCTCCTCGGGGCGAGGTGATGCTCTGGCCAAGAGGGACTCCTTGTAGGGCCAAAATTACCCCAAAACAAATGCTCAGGGTGGGTCCCGACCCACAGAGGATATGTGAGCTTCCCAGAGAAGACAGCTCAAGGTGGGAACATCTTGAAAGAGGGACCCACATCTCCTGGGAACGTTGCTCCTTGCAGAAAGCGGAGAGTTGCTGGGGACGCCAAGGGCTGGCGGGGACACCGAGGGCTGGCGGGTCCTGGGGCCACCCCCCTTCGTGGGAAGGCGAAATAGCAAGCAGAGAAGGGGTTTGGTTGGTTTGTTTTTCCCTTCCAAAGCAGCCAAGCTGTGTTTTCTGGAGACCTGTAAATCACTCCTCGTCTTCAGGAAAGAGAGGCGAGGAATACATGATCCAACCAAGCAAAAACGCAGGACGCTTGGGAGCGTAGAGGAAGCCAGGAATCAGCCCAGGCTGGAGGCTGCCTCCCGCTCGTCCCGCCAAGCCTGTCCCAGCTTGCTGGGCCGGGAGCTGGCACTGCATCCCGGCATCCTCAGGCCGAGGCGGGCACGCCACGCTGCCGCCAGGTGGGGAGCCCTGCAGAGAGGGGAGCCGAGGCTCTCGGCCACCACCGTTACACTGCACTTTTCCAGCAGGTCAGGTTGCTTCCAAGATTTCAAAATTTTCCACATTGGCTCAGCTGAAGGGAAGGAAAAACCCTGGAGAAGAGAGGCTGGAGGGTTTGTGGAGAGCAGAGCTGGGGCTGGCAGGAAGGATCCAATATACTGAGGGTCACCAATCTTTCCAGTTCACCAGCATGCCAGTGCTGGCCACATCCCACAGTGTGTGTGAATCCAAAGCCACCCCCAAGCCATCCAGAGCCAGATGCTGCCGCAGGACTCACTCTGGACACAGCCTGGAGCTCTTTAATGCTTTTAAGAGCAGGGCTGGGTTTGGTATCTCAGGCCTTTGGGATCTCCAAAGGTTCCCACTGCATCTCCATTCCACTCTTGCTCATAATACAATGCACAGAATTATTTTCTACTTCTTACCTACTTTTGACCCTAAGGTGCTGCCAAGCTGCTGGTGCAGGAAGAGCCCTACAGTGCAGTTGGGATGGCCATGCCGCAGCAAAGATTTTGGTCAGCAGCCCCCAGGAGCCAGACACCACAGGGACCCAGCCTATGCAGGGATGACATGATCCTTCCCCAGCTCTGTCCGGTGTGTCAGGCCCCAGGAGCGCAGACATGAAGGGACAAGGGGCAGAGAACAACCCAAATATTTCCTCCTCTCCTCTCAGCACCAATGAAGCAAAAGGCAAATCATTTCCCTGGCTGCCTGCTCAGCATCCACAGTGGGCCAAGCCCGCCCAGCCCCACTTGTGGCCGCCCTGGCTGAGCTGCTGTCCCGGCATTTCACTGGGAAAACAGCAAAACAAGCCCTGGCTGCCTTGGAGTCCCTGTTGGGAGGGACTCTGCAAGGAGGGCAGGACCGGCCACCTCCCAGCCCAGCACACAAGGAGAAGGGGCTGGAGATGGTCCGGCACCAGCATCCTGAGCAGGAGAGCAGCCCAGCTCCTGCAGCACCTGCCTTGCACTGCAGCCCCACCACCATCCAGCCAGGGCCACTCACTGCCACCCAGCAGCCCCGAGCTGAGATATCCCCACAGTGGTGCCCAGTTGTCCTTGCAACCTAAACCAGAGCAGAAACTGGCCTGGAAGTGTTTGGAGATGAAAACGTCATCACCCCATTGTTTTGTTTCTGTCCAATTTCAGGCTCGTTTAAGCAGGTCCATTACAGCTGATTCTGTACAGAACAGGGCGCCAAAGGCTGCAGCTCCCCCAAGCACGTGGTGTTTTGTTCTTGTCTATCCTGCAACACGTCCACAGAGCAAGGGCTGACTCAGCAGTGGACATGTGAGCCCAAGGCTCAGAGCCACAGGCAAGGGGCCAGTAGCAGCGACGGCATCACTCGCCCTGTTAGCGGGAAGGATGGGGCTCGTGCCGCTTTCCCCTGGCACAGCACCAGCATGGGCTGCCCCACCGAGCGGGCTCAGAGCACCCCGTGGGGAAACGCTGGTGAGCACCTCTACCCCGAGGGTGTGCACAGCCCAGGCATTGGGAGCTGCCCAGCTCCACCAGCGCCAGGTCAGCAGGGATGGCCAGGATGACGGAGCATTGCTGGCCTCCAGCTCCGGCCGCTCGCTCCACACCCAGGCGCCTTGGCCTGCCCTCCCAGGCAGCTGCACTTTCTGAGTGTCCCTGCATGGCCATGCCTTCGGGGGGCTTCTTTACTCCTGCAGCACTGCTACAGGTCTATGTTGACATTGTCACCCCCAATTCTGGATTTAATCCCACCATCAGGCCCAGTGCTGCAGCGGGAAAGTGATCCAAGCACTTGCTCAGACCCCCAGGCTGCTATCAGGGCAGACACCAGGCACATCTGAGCATGGGTTTTAGGGACCACAGTCAGACACTCCTTACTGCATGTGACCCTTAATTTCTTCATCCTCTGCTTCCCGCAAAAACCAAGCTGCCAGCATGCAAGAGTGTTGGGATGGAATACTTTATTCATGTGAACACTCAGATTCTGGCCCTTCCTGCCTGCTGCAGCTGCTCCCATCTTCTTGACAGTGTGAACAAGGAAGATTTCTTCATCAGCTTGCTTAACACCCCCCCCAGCATCATCAGACCCCACAAACAAGTACAGACAGTTTGGCTTTGTCTGGACAGGAGCAGAGGGCGGAGGGGCAGGGAGTGCTGCGGGGCTGGCAGAGCAGGGAGAAGGGCTCCAGCCCACAGTTCGCACACACAGAGCAGCCACAGAACCTTCCCGCAGCTCCACTCTCACCACCAAATATGCCAGCACCCTCCAGCCTTGGCGGCTCCTCCTGCAGCCAGAAGCACCTGGGGTTGGCAAAGGATTGGTGCCACCTCCTCTTCTCCTTGGAAAGCTGCTGCCAGAATCAGACCCGTGTCTTCTGTCACCTGCTGGGCCATTTAACCCTCGAAGTGCCCCCTGCCCACTGACAAATACCCTCCCCAAAATATTACAGTAAAAGGAAAAACCTGCACGTTGAGATGTACAGGCTGAGTCTTGGGTAGAGAACGGTTTCCGTGCTGGGTGGTCCAGTGGTGGCCGGCAGCCCCCAGACAGCCCTCGGGCACAGAAGGGAGCAGGATCCACCACGGCCACCCCTGGCACATCAGGGCTTCATCCTGCTCAGTCTGATGTCACGCTCGATTTCAAACTGCCTGTGATCCACGCGCTCCAGGAACGCTTTCCTCTCGATGTACCTGCAGGGAGGCAGAGGCTGTAAGCAGTGCCCGGAGCAGCCAGTGCCAAAGCCCACCCAAAGGGATGAGCAGGGAGGGAAGGCACCATCCATCTCCCTCCCTCTCTCTCCACGAGCTGATCGCTGCACTGAACACCTCCTATGGACACCAAAACTGCTCTGTGGCCTGTTGGCTGTCCTCTGCGGGACTCGCAGAGGTCTGAGGTGAGGGGTCCCCATAGGTTGGAAATCTGAACTCGCTGCTTCAGGTTCCAGTTCTTCTCCTACAGCTGAGAAATGTCCTTCACAGACACCTTGCAGGGGATAAGAACAGGCCCTTGCAACACACAGGAGAGCATCTCAAACCCATCCGCAGCAGCACAACCCATGATACAAGCCAGTAACAGGCACAGGGAGCATCAGGGATGCAAGGAGCATCACCCAGCAAACCTGCAGCAGCTCAGGGATGCAAGCCAGGGGCTTCCCAGCCACAGACCAGCTTTTAACCACTGCTGAGTATTTACTGCTGCCCCTCAGTGTGGCACCCTGAGTGCTGTGAGGAAGAAGGCAGGCCTGTGCCTGGAAAAGCACCTTGCCACTCATTAATGGCATGTAGCTGAATTTTAATGTACTTTGCTGCAAACCCTTGCCACAGACAGCCCGGGGCTGTGCTACTAATTAACCTACAGAGGGAGCGAAATTGCAATTCAAAACAGGAGCTGTAATTGAATCATCACAATTGTTTTGCATTTGTTCCAGGGTGGCAAACACTGGACTGTCATGACAAGGTCATTACGCTTGTGTGAGATGCACAGGGAACCACTGCATTCAGCTTCTCTGCTGGTCACTGCTTTTCCTGCATGGCAGCTGGTGCCTGCTCACCAAGCAAGACTGAAGGCCAAGGAAAGATGAGCATGACAGGCTCTGTGGGTTTTCCAGGCTGCTGGGTGGCTGGCAGTGTGCACAAAGGTGCCCAAGACCCAGCTGCATGGGAAGGCTGAAGCCCTCTCTTGCCACCAGCAGTGGTTCCTCTTGGACAGAGGGACCTTTGATGATGAGGTCTCTGCAAGGTCAGGCTGGATGGGGCTCTAAGCAATCTGATTTAGCTGAAGATATCCCTGCTCACTGCTGGAGGTTGGATTCCATGATTCTGTGATTCTTTATGCTACAACTATGGAACTGGTGCTGAATGTCCTCCCAGCACCAGGGTGCCTTTGCCCTTGCTGCAAGGGATGGCCCTGACACTCCTGCCCACCCAGTCATCATTGGAAATTAATTAATCCAGATTAATTTCATCGAGTGATCCCCCCAAGCGGATGAACAGCCCCACGTGTCCCCACTGCCACCCCAGCCCCATCGCAGCTCCAGCCTGTCTCGTGCTGACACAACTGGGTCAGCTCGTCTCCGCCGGCTGCGAGGGGCAGGGATCAGCACGGCTAATGCAGGCTGTGAGGAGCTATTTCTCTGGCCCCTTCCCCCTGCCATCAGAGCCCAGGCCCCCTCCCCACACCGGTTCAGGAAAGGTGGCAGGGGAGTGTCGCTTTCCTTCATCCCTGCAAGCAGGGAGGTGACCTGCTCCGGGGGCCGGGCTCGGAGAGGTCACGGGAAGGAAGTTGGGGGGTCACGCTGTATATTAGTGTCATATTGCTGGGTGTGTGGTTTTCCTCCCCCTCCACTGCTAAACATCGACCACAACCACAGCCGGGAAGGCAAGGACAGGAGTCACTGCTGTTATCTGGGAACACCCTGACTGCCTGGGCAGCAACAGCCCGAGCTACTGAGCCTGAAGTTCCTTTGGCCCCTCTGCGATACCCGTCTCCCAGTGGGTCAGCAAACGGGAAATCAAGGGGTCAGCCGCCCTTTTTTCCTCCTCCTCCTCCATGACTGCTGTGCCTCTCCAGTGGGCAGGGCCTGGCTCCCGGGGGGATCGATATGGATCATGAACCAGGAATGTGGTCTCACAGCCGCGGCCAGCAGTGCTGCATGGAGGAGGAATTGCGACGTCACCCCACGGCTTTGTCCTTGGCCGGCCACAGCAAAGTGCTGTAGGGGCCAGAGCAGACCTTACAGGCACTACCTGGGCATACACGGGGCCTGGCCGGGTTGTGCTGCAGGCACACACAGGCTGGAGGTGCTGACAGACACGAGCAGGGCTGTTGCAGGGTCGGTGCAAGCCCCTCTTGCCCTGAAGGCCCTGCTGGAGCTGCAGCTCTGCCTCTGTTCTCAGCCAGCTCCACACAGCCGACACCAAGGCGCCGCCAAACACGGTCCAAAGTGCACGAGTGAGGCACAAACACCCGTCTTGCGCTTGTCTAAACAACCTTTGCTACCTGAATCAATACCCTCCTGTAAATTATCAACCTGCCTGGAAACAGGGCAGCTGTGATCCACAGCAGAGGAAGGAAAACCCACTGGGAGCGAGGCTGTCTCTGCTAACAAGGGCAGCTGCAAGCTGCTCTGGGGAGGGTCTCGGTGGTGCTGCCTGTCCCCTGCCAGTTGCCATCAGTCATTGGTGCAGGAGTGCATGGGCCGGCTGCTCCCCCACGGGGCTGCCCTACAAAGGTGGCCCAATTAAGAGGCCACTAACACATTTCCATTTATAAAGCACATCAGAGAGATCAACAGCAAAGGGCATAGCTGCCTCCCCTCCTCACTCCAGCCCCTCCTCTCAAATCCAGGACAGGCCCTCAGGACCTGATACAGACAGGCTGCACAAGCTCAGATCCTGCTCCCAAGGAAAGGCAAATCACCGGCTGAGGCTGGTGATACAAGGGGCAGAAAATCAGAGGCAAGGGGGGACAGAACTAAGGGGCAGCAGCACATGTCCCCTCTGCCTTGGGAATCCTGGGCTCAGGCTGTGGCTGGCTGATAACTGGCATTGGCAGCAGACAGATGCCACAGCCCCACTGCTCCACTGGCTGCTGGTGTTCTGGCCCAGCACGTGTCGCTGCTGGAGAAAGCACAAGGGAGGTACAAGGCACAGGGAGCTCGGGGCTGTGAACAGCAACTTCTACAAGGCTACCACAAAAAAAAAATTCAGCCTGCCTTCCCTCCTGAGCAAAAAGTAATGCCTCCTGCCTTCCTTGAGACACGCATGGACCATCTCTGTAAACGCACAGGCTTGTGTGGCATCGAACAAACATCTCCAGGAGTGGGCTGTGGCTTTCCTATCAGGCAGACATTTACAATCACACAGCAGGACACGTGGGGAGCAGAGGTTTCTAACAGCATCAGGGATTAAAGGCAGTGCCCCGCTTCCTCCTGCCTGGGTTGAAGGGTTAACAACGGCTCATTACAATTTTTATAGAGATGTGTAAATGATTGCTCACTGAAGGGTGAGCACAGCTGACATCATTAAAGGAGAAGAGGCGGCTGCAGAAGGGACAACAGGCTCCTGTGAAATGACCTGAGGCTGGCAGCAGCCGTGCCTGTGACCTGCCCCCCAGGCAGGCTGGCTGCTCTGTAGGGGAGCAGCACCCTTCACACTGCAGGCGTTTAGAGGTGGCCTGTAAGCAGAAATGCACTGGCCTGCACCTCCATCAGTGCTCCTCCCTTCTCCCTTCCTTTACCTTGAAGTGGAAGTAATTCCCAGTGAGCAGATACTCAGCTGATCCCCTCACACTACACGCCTGGCTAGCACAAACATATTTGTAAGGAGTGTCTAAAGTTATCACTGCATTACATTCCTTATTTGTTTAACGACAAAAAACCCTTGCCAAGAGCTCAGCAGTTTTCTAGCCTGGGATGTGACAGGCAGCAAAACACAAAACTGTTTAAAGAATTAAAGATGCTCTTAAAATTGCTGCTCTGCTTTGCTCATCTTTTCAATGTGCTGATGCCTCCTTTGGCCTTCAAGGACCATTATGTGAGCACCTTTGGAAAGGTTTGCCAGGTGTGAAGAGCGAGCTGTCCTGCTTGGATGTGGTGGGAAAGGAAACAGCACTGGCCAAGAAAGGCTGACATACTAAGTTGGGGAACACGAGAGATGGCACAAAACACTGCTCTGCCACACCTGGATGTGGTGGAAATCACTCAACCCCTTGGATTTCAGAGACCTCGGAGGAACACCTGCCCCTCTCCGGCACTCCTACGTGTTCAAGGGCGTGTGGCCAGAAACAGAGCAGGGGAGATCTGATGGAGAATGGGTGTTGTGGAAGGGTGCAAGACCAAACCGAAATATCTACTTGATAGTTTGACAGTTATACATATATATATATATATATTTTGAAATACAAAATCCAATCTGTTGGAATGCAGAAGCTGAGTTTTTCCTGCTGAGTAAAAGAACAGCTTATAATAAAATATACATTTTACGATCTGTCCACTAAGCCGGTCACATTTTCCCAGAGCTTAGCAAAGCACTTGTAGTGGAAATGCTGCTTCTGATCTCATTATCACTCCCTGCAGTGCATGTTATTAACTTTCTGTTTTATTTACAGCATTGCCATTTACTTTTATGATGCTTCCATTAACTTCATTGGAGTGAACATTGCTTGATGCACACAACCAACGCCCAGCGCTGCCATAATCCTTAATGCACCTTGCCAGCTGTTCTGGGTTTGCAACATCTTTATGCAGGGGGAGGGAGGACAGATGCAGCTGGAACACGTCATTTGAAGAACAGAACAAACCATACCTCCCAGTTTGAAACAAGAAAATGGTGCAAAGGCAACTGTGTTTCCTCGTGGGAGTGCTGGACTAGACCAGCTCACACTGCATCTGTACCAGGAGTAGGAGAGCTGATAAAGCCAGACTTTGGCTGGACTTGGAGACCTCACAAGGTTGTTAGCAGAGAGTGACAGATGTTCGCAGACTTACCTGTCTCCCTGTGATGGCTACAGGAGCTACTGATTTTATGCATCCCTAGAATAAATCCTTAAGGAATCCCATAGGTTTTCTGAACTCTGCAGGAAGCAACAGACTTACCACATGCATAGGAAGTGGTGGGAAATGCTGGACTACTATTAGGTAAAGTCCCTCTTACCCATCTTTCCCTCGATTGTGGATTGCCAGCTCCTCCACAATCCCCTCCTCCTCCTTGAAGTTCTCCCAGTCCAGTTTAGATTTCTCCAGTGTGCTCATCTTCTGCTTTTTGGCGCCAATCTTCCCCAGGAGGCTGCTCATCCCGCTTGGCCTCTTCACCCTGTCGGAGATTAGGGAGCAAATGTCACTTAAATGCAGGGAGACGGCAATTAAAAACAGAGCTGAGAAACGTCACATGGGAGAGTGGTGGCCTCGATGGTGGTGAGCCACTGCCACGAAACAGATGGCCACCAACTCCGGGCAGCCTGCAGGCGGCAAGGTCACGCTTCCTGCAGATCCTGCTCCACCGTTCCCCTGGAAGCAGCAGAGTTCATTACACACATATCTCAAGTGCTTGCTTTTTGTGAAAGGGCTTTTTCATTTATCTTCTTAAGAGAACAGAGAGCTTTCAGGCCAAAAGAGATCATTAAATCATCTAGTTTGACCCCTTGTATATACCAGGCCAAGCCATTCCACTGATCACCTCTGTGCTAAGCCTGGTTCTTTGTCTTCAGTTAAAGTGTTGTTTTCTGGAAGGGATCCAGCCTCAGTGCGTCACCAGCGCTGACAACACAACTAGGAGTTAACCATTTCATTGGTATTAATGCTTGATTTTTCTCTAGCTTTAGCTTCTGGTTGCTGCTGCTTATTCTAAATCCAAGAGCACTCTGGTCTCTAGGCGAGTCTCATTAGTGACGTACTCGTAGACCATAATGAACTTACATCTGAATTCGTTTTTGTGCAAACAGATAGAGCTCTTCTGCCTCTCATTGAAACGCATTTTGTCCCAGCCTGTATGTCACTCCCAAGGTTTTGTCCCCCTGCTTACTCTTCATCACTCTTTGAAGATGGGGGCACCAGAACTGCCCCATCCTTCTCCTGATCTGTTTGTGTCCAGGGATTGCCTAAACCCTGTTAGTCACACTATTGCTGACACGCCGAGTCCCACTGCACATGCACTGCGATCCCACACCACCTCCCAGCTCCCTGTTTGGCAGGAAGACCACTTTGGTCTTTCATTACCTTGTTCTTGGAGGAGCGAAATCCCACCCGCATGGTGGGGCCCCCCCGAATCTCCCCTTTATGCTGAGAAATGCACACACAGGGACTGGGGTCAGCTGGGCTGCCCTCTGAGGAAGACAATTCTCAGGGATAGGAACCCATAAAACAAACTCATTTTAACCCTTCTTAAACCCCCCCAGGAGAGGGGGGCAAACAGTGTCCCATTGAACTCGGTGTTTACACACATTCCAGAGATAACTTCAGGTCTGCAGGGCCTTTGCCTCTGCAAGAAGCCAGAGAGGAAATGATTCTCGTTCCTGAGAGATGGAGGAATCTGGGGAGGGGGGCCCAAGGAAGGCAGCCAGGTGAGCATGGCAAATTGCTCTCCATCGGTGCTTTCCGAGCACAGTCCTGCCCAGGGGTAGCCATTCTTGGGAACGTATCCAAAGTTGTCCTTATCAGATCATTAGCGTGGTTTATGCTTCCGTAATTTGCAAGCCTCTAAAGGAAGATAATTCTGCAGTTTATATGGAATTAAATCAAAGAAAATGACAACTCCGTAAGCCCCAGACAGAAGACTCTCAATGCAAGAATGGCTGGCCAGAGTCACCTGGGGTAGCAGCTTCCTGACATAGATATATTTGGGCTACAAACTCTGGATTAAGGGCATATTGGCAGGTTCCATAGCCACTGGACAAAGCTGTCTGCCCCTCCTTATACTGTCCAGCCAGAGGAGCAGAAATGGCCTAGGACCTGGCCTCTTATTTCCTTCATTCCCTGCTCATGGCTGGAGCACAGACCAGCAGCCAGCCCTTTTCATTCTGCAGGGATACAGAACATGCTGGATGCTCTTTAATTTGCCTTTATCCCTGAACATCTCATCAAGATATCTACAGCCCTTCACATCATGATCACACAATAAAACCTTGACCCTTGCTCAGCCGCCAATTCCCCCTTACTTTTCAAGACTTGATGGCTCTGGGCATCCTTATCTGCAGGTAGCAGGAAAGTGGTGTTAAGGGATAAAATGGGCAAAGATATTCTCAGCACAAGATAAAATTGGGGAGATTTGGTTCCCACATCAGGACTACACACAAGCCTTGCACAACCATCAAACACAGTATCAGAGATGCAGAAACCAAAGTTGTTGACCCTTGTCTCTAGATTTCTCCTAAATGTTTTTTGGGCAAAAAACACCAGTGGCATTAAGAGCCATCTCACCTGTCCAAGGGCACCCACAGCTCATGGGCATCCACTGACCCTCCTGTGGGTGGGAGCCCACAGACACTGTCCACTGAACTACAGATGGGCCTGACTCTGCACAGGGCACAGCACGCCCCTGGAAAAACCCACTGGAGGCAGTTTCAGGATCTCTCCTGTGTGTCAGAGGAATACCCGCCCTGCAGAGTGGCAGGCAGGCTCAGAGGCAGGCTCACACATGCTGAGACTGATGCCTTTTCCCCCTGAGGGGGAAGAGCTTAGCTGGGACAGGGGCCAATTGGCCAAGCTGGGCTGCTGAACACATCCCTGCATGAAACACAGACTGGGACGTGGTGACAGGCCACTGCTGTCCCCAAACTGCAGTGGAGGATATACAGAAGGGAAGGGAACCAAAGGCAAGATGGTTCATGGCCAGAGGTGGAAGAAGAGGTGGTTCCAGCTTCACAGCAGGGAGCAGGGGCTGCAAGCTAGGTGATGCCTGTCATCATCTTTTCTCCTATGGCAATTCCAGGCGTAAATTAACAACATCTACATGCACACATCCATCTGCAATGGTGCTCAAGGCCTCTGTATCTCCTCTTGGCCATGGATCTCAGGAATATCTCTTAGGAGATATAGTTCACCCCATGTTTGAAGTTACAGAGTCTAGGCTAGGACATGGACATCCATCAGGGGCGTTCAGATAACCACAAGAATACTCTCAAGTCAACAGTTCCTTCAAGGCAAGGAAACCTGATGAAAAAGGACAGGCTATTTTGCACCCTTGTGTCGATGACTACTCAAAAAACATTATTAATATCCAATGTCAGTCCCATGCTGGAAGTGGGCTCTGGGCTGGATGACCTGGCTCTGCTCCTGCCTGGACAATTCTGTGCTGCTGCAGCAGGACCAAGCAATGAGACGGGGCCAGGCACAGGCTGAAGGACATGTTCAAGTCTGCTGCTGAGTCTTCACTCCATGCTGAGCCTGAATAAATCCAACAGCAAACCTGGGGGTGGGAATTCCTACGCTTGTGCCAAAATGAAGTAAATGAGAGACATTAAAGTCCAATTAAAAACTTGCTTGGCCTTAAATGCCTCATCTGTTTAAAAAGCAAGTAAAGGGGCCTGATTAATTGCATTCAGTGCCAACAAGAGGAATTATTACCCTTTTTGTACTCATTAAGGGTATCTGCTGTGGCATCTTTAATCACTAAGGCATTTAAAAGAGAGAAAGTAATTTGCTAAGACATAATGGATCCCAGGGATGAGGATCAGGACAATCGTCTATTTAGGACACAAAGACATGCTCTGAATTTTCACAATTAGAAAAGCACGGCCAAAGCCAGCCCCTGAACCAGCAAAAATAAAGTGCTGGGGAGCTCTGCCTTGGTGGGGGGGATTCCTCTGCACCATCTAATGTCATCAGGACAAAGGCTGTGCCTGTGCATTATCTGTTATGGTTGTACACAGAGTCAAGCAGCAAGCCACGGGCTCCCTTGCTGTCCCACCGTAGGTGAACACGCTCTGCATCACTGTCCTTAACAGTGAGGCTTCCTCCCACCTCAGTGTGAGCCTTCAGCCTGACCAGGACCCTGGAGAATTGCTGCTATAGCAGTGACGAAGTGTCACTGCCGCATGTAATCCCTGATGTCTTACGACATGAAGGTCGGCAGCATCTGGGAAACGAATGCCTGCTCCGAAGAGGCAGACTTCATCACAAGCCTTGGAAAATAATCTTCCAGTCAATTAGGAACTACAAAGGTCTCACAGTGCATCCCACCAGACAAAGCAAGATGAGTTCCTCTCATACCTATCCAGAGATGGGTGCTCTGAAGGCCTCCTGTCACCAACCCCACACGCACCAGAGGTTTCAGTACTTCATCAGCCTTTCACTTATGTAAGTCTTCCCTAGTGATTAAATTTCTTGCTCAGCCTATGACTTGGTATATTCTTCCTCATAGCTACTAAGAACAGATCATTCCCTCACTTTTTGCAGCAGCCTTTTATGTCCTTAAAGCTTTTGGTATCGCTCCCCACTCAGCTTGCTCTTTCCTAGACTAAACAATCCCAGGTCCGTTCAAGCTTTTCTCATTCCTCATGGTTTCCAGCCCTCTGACCACTCTCACTGCTCTCCCTGGACTCTCTGCTATTGGCCCATATCTTCCTCGAGGCGCAGCATCCAAAAGGGGCATAGCTGCAGTGCCGGGTTTCCCAGCACCGGGAGCAGGAGGAATGCTTTGGATGCCTTGCGACGCACGCAACTCCTCACACGGCCCCGTGACGTTCGTCTTCTTCACAACCCTGTGACAGCATTGACTCATGTCAAACCTGTGATTCACCCAGAGATCTGTCTGCTCTGCTGCTGCCAAGCCACTGCCTTCCTCTATCCATGCAGAACATTCCTGCTACCCAAAGGCTACCCTTTGCACTGTGCTGCCCCTCATGTTTGCCCTCTTGTTCTGACAAGACAACAGAGTGGGGCAACTTCTCTGGCCTCATGACAGTCTTTTGCACCTCTCAAAGCAGAGACAATTTGATGCTGGGCGCTCCATCACCTTCCAGCGTGACCCTGCCATTAGCTCAGTTGGTCAGAGCATGGGGCTAACTATGCCAAGGTTCCATTGCTGTAAAGGCCATTCACTTAAGAGATGGACTGGGTGATCCTTGTGGGTCCCTGCCAACTCAGAATATTCTGTAATTCTGTGATAAAATATCTGGTGACTCTCCATGAGGCATTGCAGAGCAATCTTTCCTTTGCAGAAATAAACAGGGACTCACAGAGGTGACACGATTTCATCAGTAGGAAATCTTGCAAAACCAGGAAAGCCCCCTGTAACTCCTGCCCTAGCCTTTGCAAGCAGATTTTCAAAGAAATCATCTTTACCACTTACTATTTAAAAAGGCAGGTTATACCTAC